CCCCCCCCCAAAGAAAACAATAGCTGCCTCCTAAAGTCATGTGTAATATCCCCAAGTGAAAAACTTCGCTAACGCTCGTGCACCAGGAGAAAATTTTGGCCCAAGGATATCCATCTATTCTAATAAAGGAAATCTCCAGCTGCGAGGAACTCAATAATTTGACGTCCATGTAAATTAGTGGTTCTTCATATTGGTGCCGAAGATTAGAGATGTTACAAGAGAGTGAGAGTAACCACGCAAAATAGACGGAGGGGAGATAAAGACGATAGATGTTTCTATCTTACCTTACAGGTGAAACTAGTGCTGTCGTGTCATCTGTCTTGAGTGCTCTTTGGTTCTCAGGTCCGTCTCTATGGCTCCCCACAAGTGTGGCGTCAGTTTTCATAATTCACATTGAAATTGCCGAACTTTGCCAATTTTCTCTATAGTCTACAGGGGTTTCGAGAGCGCCACTGGTAGGTGCTATAATATTGTTGTCCTTGTCCGATAACTTTTTTGGGGGTAAATTTTAGGTTTTCTGTCTGTCCGGGGTTTTTTTCGTCTCTCTGTCTATCTGTCCGTCCGTCCTTCTGTTTGTCTGTTTGTCTGTCTGTCTGCCTGTCTTGTTGACTGTCTGTTTGTCTGTCTGTCTTCTTGACTGTCTGTTTGTCTGTCTGTCTTGCATTTTCCGACGAGCGCAAAATGGCTATTAATTATTATGGCGAGATGGGGGTAGAGATGAAGGCACCACTAGTAAATCCTTTAGCTTTTTTTTCTCTATGTTTCTGTTGTTTCTGTTTTTTCATGTGTCAGCCCCAAAATAGCCGGGCTCTCGGACAGCTATGTTGAAAAATGGTATATGTTTAACACCTATCAACACTGTTGGGTTATATAAGAGGCGTGACCTCCGTGTTTAACGTCCATCTCCGAAAGGACCGAGCCAAGTGGGAAATACGTGAAAATTGCCTTTCCCAAGGACACAACGCCAGACCGAGCTGAGGCTCGAACCACCGAACCCGCAATCTCACTATTTCGTGCCCGGTAGCCTTGCCTCTGGGCCACCAACGCCTCAGCTCAGCTGATTTCATGCTGAACTACAACGGCGATATCTCTGTTGCAAATCTCCATCCAGGCATTTTTGGGCCTTGATTAATGGGCTCCCGATTTTCAAGGCTCTTCCACTCCTTATTCAGGAAAAAATGCAAATCTTGTCATACTTTACTATTAGTTCAATTATGCCTTTGGATTGTTAATTAGTTAGTGGGTTTTTATTTTAGATAGATGAGGAAATTAAAAGCCAGAGAGATTGAGAGAGTGAGAGATTGAGAGAGAGAGAGAGAGAGAGAGAGAGAGAGAGAGAGAGAGAGAGAGAGAGTAATGCAGTGATGAAGCAAGCCCACACAAGCCATGCCACTGCAAGCACACACAGCGTGTGAAGCGAGAGAGGGCAGCGGTGTGCTGTAGACCTCGATCTAGCCCGAAACCTAGCGACACGCACGCGTAATGTGTCACCAATGATGTCAAGCGCAAGATAAAATGCCTTTCAATTGACCAAAAATTCGAAATAATCCAGGTTGTTGACAAAAAGCAAGCTCCACTGGCAGAGATTTGTCGTCAGTTCGACATTCCACTAGGATCGATTCGCATCATTATAAAGGATAGAGAGACGATAGTGGCTGCATACTCCAATGGAAAGTTTGCTCTGGATCGAAAGAAGATGAGTGATGAGACTACTCGATGAAGATGCATCTCTTCTGATGTGGTTTAAAGAGGCAAGGAGAAAGTTGGTGCCAAAACCCCAGTTTGTGAGTACTTGTGGCAAGGGAAACTACCCATGAATAATATGTGCAGCTGGATTAGTCCACAAATGCTTACTTTCCTTGCATTTCTGATTTAACAGGAATCGGATATAACAGGACATTTTCTCTACTCCCACCATCCCTGTTATATCAGGTTTCCACTGTAAATAATACATTGTCACATTGTTCATTACGTACATTTATGTATATCATTTGTGTACATAATGTATGTAAGTGCATATGTTTATACATATCAATATGTTTATGTACTATAATATAATATAATATAATATAATATAATATAATATAATATATATATCTATCTATCTCTCTCTCTCTCTCTCTCTCTCTCTCTCTCTCTCTCTCTCTCTCTCTCTCTCTATATATATATATATATATATATATATATATATATAAAGAGAAAGAGAAATAGATATATAGATATATATGTTAGATTATGTATATTATGTATATTATGTATATGTATATGTATATGAATAGGAGACTTTTCAAAAAATTGTAAAATTTTGAAACAGCATTTTAAAAAGACAATGAGCTAGTCATGTTATTTCTAAATTTTCGTGTGATGAATTGGGCATGTCTTCGCCACTCTGGAGTATAAAATTGAAGCTTAATTCTTAACCAAACGAAAATATAGGTCTTTATCTATGTACTGTGTTAAGGACTGGTGGGGCACCTGAGGTCCATTTTGGCTATTACAAGGCCTAGAGTGCCGATATTTGCTGTGGGACATCGTGTGTTATTGGAGATTTTAAATCAATAGTTCAAAAAGTATATTGTAAGTCGGTTGCTATGGAAACGGCGGCCATATTGGATTTTGTATACCTTTTTCTATCCCATTTTATTTCCTTATTTATTAACCGATTCACTTCTAATTTGGCATGCCAACAGTACATAAGTAGCTCTTAAATTTGGCTTGTTGAATTTTTGATATATGCTTTAGTTTTTATTTTTATGACATTTACAATTGAGATGTTGCACAAAAAAGAAAAAAAAAAGAAAAATTCATGCTTTCTAAGCCCATAAATCAAAAACTACTACATTAATCAAAAATTCAACAAGCCAAAATTTAGAACTAGGTGTTGTTGGTATCCTGTGAAAGTTACATTAAAATTGAATAAGAAACAGAGCAGAAAAATGGGATAATATGTGAAAAAATAGAATTGTACGAAAACAGCCGATGCAGGTAAGAAAAGGCTAGACAACATGTGCTTTCGCCGAAAAACCTGACAAAAAAACACAGCTTTAGGGTGTAGCAAGGCTTACATACGTTTCTGGATATTGTTCAGGAAGTGTCCAGGTACTATAATATGTAATAAACCCAATTTACAAAATTTGACCCCCAAACACGATTTTTAGGTGCCCCACCAGCCCTTAAAGACGTTCCTCTCCGTTACCAACTTAATATACGCCGTTGATTGGAAACTTTGGACAAAGCATGCAATTTTTGGAGTTTATATTTTTAATCAGGTCAATCACTGGGGCGGTATGTTATTAAAAATATTTTGTTAATATTAACGTTTCCATATTCCACTATAGTAGGATCGAGAAGCGAAAACTGTCATAATTTAATTACAGCTGTTTTCAATAATTTAGAAACAATATAAAACCAGACACATGCATGAAACGATATATACAGACAGTGGTCAGTATGGGCTTGTGCTGGAATCCACAAGTAATGGCATTGTATTCATGGTTTCCATTTTATAACCCTTGAAAGTGTCGGTAACGGAGAGAAAAATTGGTCACGGAAAAGAAGTTAAGGTAAAGGATCGGAAAATACGGTACCAGAAAGAAAATATATGACAAACCCTAATAATCATACAGATAGTCAAAAAAAATTTCAATCTAGCTTTATCAGATGCTGGATCAGAACAGAGCCTAATCAAGACACTTATAGCGTTTAAAACTGGTTCTATGAACTCACTTATGAATTTAACAGTCCATATATTATGATCCATGCTTTGAAACTGTTTTTACTCCTGTCTTGACAGATTTCAATTCACCACTTTTGAATTTTCTCATTCTTTCACAACGTCCACAGCAAGCCATGTTTATTTATCACTAATAGTTCTTCCATCTAGCTACAGCACAGTTTTTTAGTCTACACATTTCACATTCCATAAACATACAGGATCTGTTGCAAGCTGAGCACATGGAATGACGCACGAGAGAGAAGCTGTACAAAAAGCTTTAACTTCATACATAGCCTAATCAAGGAAGCTTTTATTGATGGGTGCTCTGGCGTGGTTTGCTCCTTCGTTCCTATCAAACGTCTATCGTCCTTATCTTCCCTCATTCTATTTTGTGTTTGTTACTCTCTTGTAACACCTCTAATCTTCGGCACTTGTATGACTATATTGTGTTGCAAGTGCCGTAAAACTCTTACTAAAATTTAAAAGTTTTACACTTGTATGTCAGCCTTTTTGAATCTTTTGGACGTGCAACCCAGATTGATTTCAACTTGCAAAATGACATAGATTTTATCTTTCTGAAAAATGTCTAGATTGTGCAAGGGGTCAGTCTTGTGTCTTTTTTGTTTCTCTACATCTTTATTTACAACTGCACTTTTCTTCCCCGAGAGAATCTGTGATATTTATTCAACACGAATAATAAATCACTTTCATGTCTCCACGACTGACTGGAACTAATAGTGACTCTTTTTGTGTAAAGGTGTGGGTTTTCAAGACTGCCAGTTTCGTTTTTCATATGCCCGAAAAACCGATGCGAATTTCGGGTGCGAACTATTTTTTTCGCATCAACCTTTTTGCCATTGTGTAAATTCATATACCGGAATTTTGCATGGCCGAGTCCGAAATTCGCATGCCAAGATTTTGTTTCGCACGAGGGAGCGAAACTTTTTTCTTCGGCACCCGAATTCTTCGTGAAGTAGG